TCTTAGAAATGCTTCTAGGTGGCCGTTCTCTTATTTGCTGGGCTTCAAGAATTGGTGGCCCTGAACCCCCAAGGGTTCTAGGACCCCTGCTGGCTATAGACAAGATCTGAGTAGAGCCCTGGGTAGACTCAGTTTCCTTCTGGCTCCAGGGACCCATAGAAACAGAGGCTGGTCTGGGACACTGTAGTAGCGATTAGGTCACATTTTCTCTCTAGGTTGGATTAGCAGCTCTAGCAGAGTCACTTCAGTGAGCCTAGCATATTGACATTAAAGCCTCTTACACTGTGGGATGTCCGGAGTGGTGAGGTCCAAGCCTACCTCAGGGAATAGTGGTGTGGGGAAGGCTCAGGAGATGTGTTCAGAGTGTCCTGAGCTTCACCTGGAGTTAGAGAGGGGTGAAATATATATTTGATCTTCCTCCCTCTTTTCCTGAGGTATTCTTAGAATCTCTGGAGTGATAAGAGTGTCTTTGCATGCAAATAAGATGACTGGTATCTGGGGGCTCCTAGATTGCTTAAGGATTTGGCTGGTTGCCAGAGTAATCCCATGATTAGAGGGCTGAGACTTACAGTATTCCACCCTCTCACCTCTGGGAGAGGCTGAAGGTTGAGCCAGTACATCAATGGCTAGTGATGTAGTCAATTATGACCATAATGAAGCTTTCATTAAAGACCCAAAAGGAGGCTGGGTGTTATGGCTCACACCTATAATCCCACCACTTTGGGAGGTCAAGGTGGGAGGGTTGCTTGAGGTCAGGAGTTTGAGACCTGCCTGGGCAACATAGTGACACCCCATCTCTAATTTAAGAAAATTAATAATTATCCAGGTGAGGTGGCTCCCATGTATAGTCTCAGCTACTCAGGAGGCCAAGGTGGGTGGATAACTTGAGCCCAGGAATTTGAGGCTACAGTAAGCCGTCATCAGGTCATTGCACTCCAGCCTAGGAGACAGAGCAAGACCCTGTCTCTAAAAGCTTAAAAAAAAAGTACAGAACTCCAGAGGACTGAGTTCTGGGAGCTTTTGGATAGCTGAGCATGCAGAGGTTCCTGGGGAGTGGCACATAGGCAGGCTTGGCAGCTCCACGCCCTTTCCCACGTGCCTTGCCCTGTGCACCTCTTCCGGCTGAGGTTCATTCACATCCTTTGCAGTATTCCTTCCTGTCTGTCTGCAGGAAGGTGATATTTGTCTCTCTCAGGTTATTATTAATAGTAACTTTCAGTGCCAGTGAATGGTGTGACATCTCATTGATTTGTGATTTTAGCTGTCCTGGATTTGGGGTTTCTGAGAGTAAGTCCTTCCTCTTTCTTCTTCTGTAAAGTAGCCTCTTTCTTAGGGACTGCTGACTCATGCTCAGCTTCATGCCAGCCTTTCATTTTACTTTCTCTTTTATGCTGCCTGTGTTTGGAGAGCAGAGGCACAGTGAAGCTTCTCAGCCCATTTGCTACCACAGACAGCAATAGGCTGGGGTGGGGTAGGACAGGGTCAGTGGGTAGGGTAGGGAGAGGGACCCCCATTGCCCTTGGGCTTTTTCTTTGGGTTGATAATGATAGTTCGTTCATCTTTCACCTCTATGCGACCTTGAAAAAAATCACTCTGTCTGAGCATCCATGACCTCATCCGTGCAACTCCTTTTAAAAATTATTCTTAGAAGAACCCTAGTGAATAAGATAAGCAAAGGTGGAGCTCTGATGTGTTAATCCTCACCTCTCAACACTAGCTCAGGAGAGCCTGAGAGGTTACTGAGGTAAAGGGGTCTGCAGTACTCCCTCCAGGCCCCTGGCACACCTTTCCCAGGACTGCTGCTGAAGGCCTTGTCACCTCACTAGTCCTGTGTGAATCCTAACACCCCTCCTGTCCTACTAGTGCCCTCTCCACCACCCAGTTCCTCCCCTCCAGGGCTGGAAGGGACATCAGTGGGATAAAACCTCGGGGTTTGCTGTCTACTTCATGGTCCACTGCCTCTTGTTGGAGGGGTCACGTGACTGCACAGAGTGAGGAATGGGGGCTGCTCGCTAAATGGGTTGTTGCTGCTTTTTTCTTGACCCCAAGAAAAATTTCCAACCTCCTAGACAACTCCCACATACTCTGTCTCCTCTTCTATTTAAGTGCTGTTTTTCCTCCTAATGAGCTCTGGTCTTCAAATGGAGCTGGGAGGAAAAACAAGGACCTTGGGAATATAAGAATCCTTGGTGAATTACCTCGTATTAATGAGAACAAGAAGAGAAATCGAGTTCAGCTCTGCAAATTAGCTTTGTGTTCTGGACCTTGATGCCTTAAATTGCAGATTCTAATTAAATGTCCCCAAATAACTATGAAGTGCTTCTAAGGTCTTTTTGACCTAAAATTTCTGTGACCTTTGAACTATCTCAGGTGTAAAATTAGTCTGTAGATGTACCCCTTTAAGCATTTCTATCTCCAGAAACCTCACGATGCCTAGGATGTAAACCACCCTCCTAAGGGCAGATCAGGTAGGTGGAGTGGGCAGGGACCCTGCAGGGAGAGGTGGAAAGGGGTGGGCATGGGTGAGTTTTGGAGCATCCCCAGGGCTGACAGAATATTGGGGTACAGATGTGTCCCTCTGTTAGGTGGCCTGTCTCCACTGTCACAAGTAAAGGGGGTGACCAACACCTTTACTAACAGGCTGAGTGGGGCAGCAAGGTAGCCAATGGAATGCTGGAGACACACTGTGAAAATGTTCAAGAGGGAAGAGCCTCTTCTTAGAGCTGAAGTCATGCCTAGGGTGCTGCCCTGCATGGGGTGCAATCTTCAGTGACACAAGAGTGTGGCGTTGAGGGAAGGAACAAGACAGTTCCCCATGATCACATCCCCAGCGTGGCTATCGTCTTGATGCAGCCTCCTGCTGGCTGTCCCCTCTGTACAGTATCTCTTTAAATGTCTACAAACAAAGCAAAGATAGGCTATTTCCTTAAAAACACATGATGCAGAAATGATTTTTTTTTTTTACGTAATGCTGTTTTGTATACACCTTTTTTGGGGGTATAAAAATCACATGTGTACAGTTCAGTGAATTTCACACAGTAAAGTCTGTGTGCAATCCATACCCAGATCATTTCCAGAGCCCCAGAAGCCCCCTCACCCTCCCCAGTCAATACCTACCCCTTCAGGATACCACTCTCCATATTCCGAATCCCACAGATTTCGTTTGGCCTGTGCTTGAACTTTGTATGGATTATTTGCTTAGAATAATCTTAACTTTTCCCCTTGACATTGTTTCTGAGACTCATCCCATTGTTTCATCTGTCTACTATTGATGAACGTTTGGGTTGTCTCTAGTATCTTCCTACTGTGAACATCACTGCTCCAAACCTTCTCTACAGGCTTTTGGGGAGCATAACTATGCGTTTCTGTTAGCAATTCCCCCTCTGAATTGTATGCCAGGTCACAGGATAGGTATATGTTCAACTTAAATAGAGGCGGCCAGTTTTCCAGCATAGCTGACCATTTCTAGCATAGCTGAGTAGAGTGTCACTCTTCTCTCTACCAGTAGAGTGTCACTTCCATTGACTCCACGTCCCTAGCAGCACTTTGTATAGTCTGTCTTTGTCATTTTTGCTGTTCTAGTAGTTGTGCAGAGTCTCACGGTTTCAGTTTGCATTTCCCTGATGACTAATGGGATTGAAGAACTTTTCATATGTCTGTTGGCTTTATTATGATCATTTTGATAGCCGGATAATAGTGTGTCTTATGGATGTTTGGGAACATTTTTTTCTTACCTATGGCTGGCCATTTGGATTGCTTTATTATTGTAAGTAATGCTACAATAAGCATTTTTACCCAGTAGTCTTTTCCATGTTCTAGACTGCTGGCAAGAGTTTTGTTATGATTTACGAGTTTTGATAATGAATGCCAGATTGCTTTCTAAATGTTCGAACTACTCTAAGATGTGATCAGCAGTACAGGAGAGTCCTAGACAGCTTCCGCCAGATCCTCCAGCAATGTGTATTCTCATTCAAGAACAAACAAAACTCTTTTGGAGGACGTTTTCAGGTGAAGGAAAGCATATTAAGCATTGTGTTACTGAGTGTTTGGTCACTTTTTCAAAATGTTTACCATGTGTATTCCTCTTTTGTGAATTCCTACCTTTTGCCACTTGCATTTTGGTGAGTTTTTTGTTAATGTGTACAAGCATTACTGTAAAACACAGATGCTAGTACTGTAAGCACTTTCTTGTTTTACCAGTCGCGTCGCATGTTGTTTCATTTGTGTGCCTTTTGATGCTAACCAGTGAATCTTCCCCTTGGTGATTTTTTATTTTGTTGCTCCCCCACCAGGCCACTGCCCTGTCTACAGAGATGCCCAGGCTGAAGATCCCTGGGCACTCCTAGTGGGAGGGATAGGAGCACAGCCTGCAAGAGAGACTGAGTCTGCCCTGGGCCAAGCACCCTGCTCTTGCTGTCATCTGATTCCCTGACCCTGGTGCTTTAAGAGGGATGGCTCATGAGCTGAGCCCTGAGGGCTGCCCAGCAGCCCCCTTGGTGCTGGGACTAAGTGGGGCTGTGGGCCCCAGCAGCAGCAGCGGTGTGGGAGTCTAGTGGAGTCTGCAGAACACTCTCCTGTTCATGCACATTTGGTTTTCATTATAGCCGCATGAGATGGGTGCAACCCATCCATCCTGAAGGGAAGGGCCTTAGAGGGCCCTGCAGCTTCTCCCAGGGCCTGCAGTTTGTGAGTGAGGAAACTGGACCTAGATTCTTGTCTCCTCACATCCCTAGACCATACCCAGCTGCCCACTTGGCTCTTTAGGACAGGCCTAGACTCCCTTAATAGATCAGCCCTGCAGGGGAGAGGAATATGTGTTTTCTCTTTCTCATTTTTTTGGATTTCAGCAAAACTTGTATTTTTGAGCCAGAAGGTTAGATTGGGGTATGGAGCTCAAACTAACATGGAGTAGCTCTTGGCCTCTCTACATTTCTAGGCATTGCATTCTCGGGAACTTCATGTTTGACCAGGCTGTTAAGTTTTTGCTTTCTTATTTTTAGATGATGGATTTGGACGTGCTTCTGTGAAGAAATGCCACATGGTCTGAGAACAAACATGTCCGGTAAGTTGTTTGGTGAATTAACCCAAGGACAGGAGCCCAGGTCCTTCAGGCCCAAGGTGTGGATACCCTTTGGGAAGACAGGGCTATCTCTGGAAATATGATGACCTCTGAGAAAGTGTTTTAAAGTAGGCTTATAGTCAGTCTAATTATCTTCTAAAGGTTGGTTCTTTCTAGAGGCAGCAGGAGTTGCAGCATATAGGGTGGGAAAAACCTAAAACTCCCTTCTCACTGCTTAACCTAGTTCTGAGAGCAGAGTATGGGTTCTGGAGCACTGAGCCGTATGAAGTGTCTGACTCAGCCTGTGGCGGTGTTTTACTTAGAGCTCTCCGCCTCCACAGCACAGCACCCTCCACTTCACTTAGGCCTAGATTACATGCTTTGCGGGAAGGAAAGCCTGAGATCCAGACATACATGAAGTTTATGCAGCTCTGGGAAGAAAGCCAGCAGGTTAAAGCTGTGAACTTTGTCTCGCTAGTGTTTTGCCACCTGGATGTAGCCCGTGGGCAGCAGACTCTTCTGCAGCTCTTACCCTTCTCACAGAGATTGTGGTGAATTGATTTAAATTTTTAAAGGTTCTATGAGGCTTGCCAACAGAAGATCATAATAAAGAAAATCTCGAAAGCCATATTTTATGATTATGTGAAAACCATCATTCACTGTGGCATATCTCCATTGAAGAGGACAGGACATCCTCAAGGGATCCCAGGAGTAAGGAGGAAGAAGTGACCAGACGGGGCAGGGAGCAGCGGACTGTTCACCCTGGTTCCTCACATACTGGGGAACCCTGGTCACTGTCCCTTTCCTGCATTAGGTCACGTTCTTTCTAAATGAGAACATGATGCCACTCCATCACCATCCCCATGATTTCTTACCAGTGTTTGCTCCTATTTCTCAGGGCTACTGCCACTTTAGGGGACTAGGGCTCAGTGCCAACGCTTCCCGGGTTATCAGGCGTGGTCTGACCCAGGATCAAGAAGCACATCATCACCAATGACATCATGACAGCAAGAGAGCACAGCCCTCGCCATGGTGCCAGGGCCCGTGCAATGCAGCGGGCTTCTACCATCGACGTGGCGGCCGACATGCTGGGCCTCTCTCTGGCAGGTGAGCCTCACAGGGCCTGTACTGGGCTCCAGGTATGAGGTCACAGAGCATGGCTTCACACTGTGGCACTGCTGGGAGGTACCTGATAAGTCCCCATGACTACCCTAGACTACAGGGTACCCTAGTTTAGCATCCTTCTGGTTGAACCAGTAAATAGGAAAGGGGTCATCAGCCCTCTTCCTGTGAACCGCTTTTGCTGGAGCTTGACTATGTTAGTTTTCCAGTTTGCAGGGGGAGAGGGGCACCACCAGGGTAGTGTGGGAATGTCCAAGTGTCTGGCTAACAAATGCCCAGGCCATGGTAAAAGGCCTCCCTGTTGTCGATGTGTAGATCCAAGGAGGAGTGGGGGTTTGGTTGTGGGGTCAGGGACTTCATAGCAATCTCAAAAACAAAATATTTTTAAAATGAAGAAATTGTCTTGCATGACAGTTCTTCTTATTGTCGTTGGGGGGAAGTAGAGGGTTATTTGTGCATTAAGTCTGAAAACAGGAAAAAGTTTATTAAGGGTGATTTTTCTGTCATTTCTTTTCTATTTAGGAAATATACAAGACCCAGACGAGCCCATTTTAGAATTTAGCTTAGGTAGGTATCTTTTTATTTATTTATTTTTTGTTTAAAAAATATTTTACTTAAAAATGAAAACAAAAACACTACCACCAGTGCATGGGCTTGTCTCAGAGAGCTTGCTGCTGCCGCCACCACTGCTGCAGTGTTTCTGAGAAGACACAGCCCTAGCAGCTGCAAACTTCTGTGGGTGAGAAGGCACCTTGGAGGCTGTGTGCCCATGGGCCCTCAGCATGGGGCCTGCCCTCTGGGGGTATGCTTTCCACAAGTGGCTGAAGACAGGGAAGTGAGCCCACTTAGAGAGCTGCCAACAGAGCCCCCCACCACCTTCTCCCACCCCAATGGGAGAAAGAGGAGGAGTTAGGAAAACTGGGCTTAAGGTTCAGCGTTGTTGCCTCTGGCTACAAGGCCTTGTGTGGTTTTCACTCTTTAGCCCTCGGTTCCCTATTGTATAAAAGGCAACAGTGGCACCTGAGTGCTCTCTCTGTCTCAGGATCAGATGAGAATACACTAAAAAATGGATCAGTATTTGCAGAGTCTGGGGTCAGCGATGCATGGCATCACTATGCTTCAGGAGGTCTGAGACACCTCTCCATCAGAGCCCAGTGCTACCCAGCACTCCTCTCCCCCTTTCCCATTCCTTGGTAGTGGTCAATATTAGTTGGCCTGACACTAGTGTCCAAGAGGTGGTGTGACATAAAAGAGGCACCTCCTGGGGAGTCAGATGACCTGGATTGCAGCCCTGACCATGCCAGGCTAACCATATGGCCTTGAGCCTGCCACTCAATCTTGCTGGACCAGTTTCCTCCTGTGCTACATGAGGATGCTACTGCTTGTTTGAGAGACGAAGAAGATCAAAATGGTTAAGCACCCCCAACCCCAAAAGACTTGGACAAACTGTAAAACCCACAAAACTGTAAGTACTTACTGCCCGGGTACAGTGGCTTGCACCTGTAATCCTAGCACTTTGAGAGGCTAAGGTAGGAGGATTGCTTGAGGCCAGGAGTTTGAGGTCAGCCTGGGCAATGTAGCAAGGCCTTGTTTCTAAAAAAGAAAAAAAAAAAAACACTTACCTGACTGTGGTGGCACATGCCTGTATTCCCAGCTACTGAGGAGGCTGAGGTGGGAGAAGCCCTTGAGCCTAGGAGTTTGACATTGCAGTGAGTTGTGACTGGGCCACAGAGGGATGCCCTGTCTCTAAATAATAATAATAAACAAAAAATAGAACTTGGAAGAAACAGAGACATTGCAGAAAGTTTCAAAGAAATTATAATTTATATTGGCTGGGCATGGTGGCTCATGCCTGTAATCCCAGCACCTTGGGAGGCCAAGGTAGGTGGGTGGATCACCTGAGGACAGGAGTTCAAGACCAGCCTGACCAACATGGTGAAAGCCCATCTCTTCAAAAATATAAAAATTAGCTGGGCATGATGGAGGGTACCTATAATCCCTGCTACTCTGGAGGTTGAGGTGGGAGAATTGTTTGAGCCTGGGAGGCAGAGGTTGCAGTGAGCTGAGATCACGCCATTGCCGTCCAGCCTGGGGACAGAGCGAGACTCTGTCTCAAAAAAAGAAAAGAAAAAAAAGAAATTATAATTTATATACTCAAGAAAAGATAGTAAATCTATAAAACAAAACCAGGACACTATAAAGAGAAAAAGAACAATTGAAGAACAAGAACAATCTTAGAAATTTAAGATATGATAGATAAAATTTTAAAAATTCTATAAAATTTGGAAGTTAGTCAAGGAATTCTTCCAGAAAGTTAAATTTTAAAACAAAATAGAATATAGGTGAGAAATAGAAATGGAAATTTTGAGAATAAATCCAGAAGGCTCAGTATTTAGAAGAAAAAACAGAAGAGAACGTAAGGGAGGAAATGTAAAGAAAGGAGAAATCTCTGAGAGCTGAAGAATGTGTCTCTAGATTAAAAATGTTTACCAGGGCCCAGCATAATGATGAAAGAGACCCATAACGAGGCATATTGTGATGAAATTTGAGATCACAGGGAATAAAATGAAGATCCTAAAAACTTCCAGAAAGAAAAATAAACCAAACAGGCCATACCCAAGGATCAGGAATAGAACTGGCATGGAATGTCTCAATAACATTGGAAACTTGAAGACAGTGAGACAACACCTTTAATTATATTTTCAACCCAGAATTCTCTGCCCAACCTATCAATCAAATGTGAGGGTAGAAAGAAACTTGTTTCAGCTGTACAGAGTTATACAGCAAAAATTTACTTCCCTGGCATTCCTTCTCCAGAAGCTAGTAGAGAATGTGTTCCCATCGTAAAGAGGGACCACATTGAGCAAAGAAGTCATGGGATCCAGGAGCTGGATTATTGAATGGGCACATGTGTTGGCTTTTAAAATAAAAGTTTAAAATTGAAAAAATTTATGTTAATTGTAAAACCTTCAATACAGAAAATGTGGAAGGAAAGGAAAACTTTGTGAGAGGTAGTCAGTTAGCTCTTTAGTATATATCCTTCCAAATACACATATTTCACCCTTACAGAGTACTATATGGAGATTTTTAATGATTTTTGGTTGTGGAAGTGATGGAATTATTTCCAAACATGGCATCCTAGTATTCTTGATACTCTTTTTTTCATATAGCAAAATATCTTTTTGTTTTAATATATATGAGATTTGCTTCATCATTTTAAATGCCTTCATTGAGTCTCTTACAGAGCTGTGCCATACTTATTTTAGCCGGTCTTCTACTGTTGGACATTCAGGTTCTTCACAATTTGCCACTATAAACACCGTCACAGTGAACATATTTATGCATAGATCTTTCATACATTTATTTAGCGTTTATTCAGCTGGGATTACAGATGATCAGGTTGGAGAGACAAGGCATACATATCAGAGATGTGTGGTTTCTATGGAAATATGACAAATGAATGACGTAAGTGAGCCTGCAGGCTGCTCAGAGAAAAATTCATGGAAGCTATGGAACTTGATCCAGGAATCAAACTCTAGTTGAATTTAGATAGGCTGGGTTGGGGGAGGAGGCCAGGATAGAATATCCCTTGTACAAAAGCATGTTCTGAAGGTGGCCATGGGACCATTAGCCCTTAAAGTAATCTCAGTCTGCTCAGCCTTGAGCCACCTGCTATACCTTAGTCGGTCTGCCATCATTACTACCTAAAAGACTTGAGTATTCCCACCTTGCATAGGTGTCAAGAAAACTCACACCTGATGAAAGGGCAGGTAGAGAGAAGCCACAGGTCATATAAGAGCACTTTGTAACTTAAAGGAGAGACAGCAAGTAGTCCGGTCCAATTGGGGGATTCCTGTCGAGGCAGACATAATAGAAGACATGAAGAGAACTTAAAATATTAATAAAACCTTGAAGAAAAATAGGAGAACTTTCAAACTCAGGGTAGGCAAATATTTGGACAGAGCACAAAAAGCACCTTTATTTAGTTTGCTACTGCTGCCATGACAAATTACCACAAATTTAGCATGTTAAAGCAATACAAATGTATTATCGTACAGTTCTCTTAGGTTGGAAATCCAGTGTGTTCACTGGGTCTTTGCTTAGAGCCTCACAACACCAAAATCAGTGTCAGCAGAGCTGGATTTATTTAGAAGCCCTCTGGGGGAAAATCTCTTTCCTTGCCCATTCACATTGTTGGCAGAATTCAGTTGCTAGTGGTTTTAAATTTTAGGAGCCCATTTTTTGTCTAGCTGTCAGTTAAGGCTGTTCCCAGCTCATAGAGGCCGCTCACATTTCTCTTGTGGGCTTACAGTCCTCTTCCTCCATTTTCAAAGCTGGCAGCGGCAGGTTTAGTGCCTTCCATGCTTTGAATCTTTCCTGCCTCTTCTTCCACTGTTATGTCTTTATGATTCACCCTAAGGCCTTCCTCTTCTACTTTTAAGGGCTCCTGTGATAGATTTAGCCCATCCGCATAATATATCTGAAGATCCCTTAATCACATCTGTAAAGTCCCTTTTGCCATGTAATGTAATCTATTCCTAGTTTCTGAGGATTAGGACATAAATACTTTTTGTCAGGGAGGGGGCTTTTCTGCCTACCACTTCCTAAAATTTGAAAAGGATACATTGAATTTCATCAGAATAAGAAATTGCTGTCTGTAAGAGATATCATTGAGAAAACGAATAGATGAACCACAAACTGGAAAAAAAATACTCTCAACACATATATTTCACAAAGGACAAATAGTAAAAAAGCAAACAACCCAATTTTTAAAATGAGCAAAAGACTTGAGCAGACATTAGACAAAATTAGTTATACAAATGAACAATAAGCACATGGTAAAATGATGCTTAATATCATTAGTCGTAATGGAACCGCAAATTGAAACACATCTATTAGAATGGCTTACAAAACAAATCCACTTACTCTACCCAACTGGAACTTTTGTATATTGCTGGTAGGAGTGTGAAATGATACAAACACGTTGGAAAACTATTAGTTTCTCATAAAGTTAAATATATTTCGCTCATAGGTAATTATGTAGAAGAAATGAAAATGTGTTCACAAAAAGACATGAACAAGAACGTTTATGTCACCTTTATAATAGTTCAAAACTGAAAACAACCCAAATGTCTATAAACAGTAGAATGAATAAATAAATTGTACAATGGAATATGACTCATCATTTTTTAAAAAGAATGAATTATCAGTACATGTAACAATGTAGATGAGTCTCAAATACTCCATTTGTGTGAAATTCAAGAACAGACAAAAGAATAGTAGTGGAAATTAGAAAATGATTGCAAAACTAGGAGATTTGACTGGGAAGTACAAGAGGGAACTTGCTAGTCTAATGAAAAAGTTGTACTATCTTGTTTTGATGATACATGGGTGGTTATGATTGTCAAAGTTCATTGAACAGAAAAACCTAAGCTCTTTGTATTTTATTATATCCAATAAATAATAAAGATTCATGAAGATATATGAGAAGATATTACAGAGGGATGACCCTGTAATTAATTTTTGGAAACAAAATTAATTTTTGGAAATAAAAATCGATTTCTTAA